AGACAGAGTCTCACTCCGTTACCCAGGCTGGAGGGCAGTGGTGTGATCTTGGCTCACTGCAACCTCTGCCTCCCGGGTTCAAGCGATTCTCCTGCCTCGGCCTCCTGAGTAGCTGGGATTACAGGCATGCAGCACCACATCCAGCTAATTTTTGTATTTTTGGTAGGGACAGGGTTTCGCCATGATGACCAGGCTGGTCTGGAACTCCTGAGTGACCTCAGGCTCTCCACCTGCCTCAGCCTCCCAAAGTGCTGGGATTGCAGGCGTGAGCCACCGCACCTGGCCCAGTAAATGCATATCTAATTTGACAAGGTACTTCCAGACAGCTCTTCGGAATAGCTGCCCTAGTCCACACTCCCATTAGCCATGCAGGAGGGTTTGTAGGTCCTTACACCCCCACCGCCACTTGGCATTACCCTGCTTCTTAAATTTGTCGGGCTGATAAAGTGATACCTCACTGTTATTTTAATTCTTCAGATTTGCTAAGATCTTGAACACCTCATCATATACTGCTGGCTTTTCAAATTTCTTCCTCTGCAAATTGCTTGTGTGCTTTGGCTAATTTTCTATTGGCATTGCTGTCTTCTTCTCCTTCTTTCTTCTTCTTTCTTCCTTCTTCTTTTGTCCTTCCCCTTCCTTCTTCCCCTTCCTCATCCCCCTCCTTCCTCCTTCCTCCTCCTCCTTCTTCCTCCTTCTTCTTTTGTTTTGTTTTTACAAACAGGGTCTCGCCTGTCACCCAGGCTGGAGTGCAGTGGCATGACCACAGCTCACTGTAACCTCAAACTCCTGGGTTCGTGTGATCCTCCCACCTCAGCCTCCCAAGTAGCTAGGATGACTGGCGTGTGCCACCACAACCAGGTAATAAAAAAAATTTTTTTTTTTCTAGAGACAGGGTCATGTTGTATTGTCTGGCTGGTCTCAAACTCCTGGCCTCAAGCAATCCTCCTGCTTCGGTCTCCCAAAGTACTGGGATTATAGGTGTAAATCATTACACCCAACCTCTCTTCTTGCTGATTCACAGGAAATCTTTTTATATTCTAGGTATCAAATCCCTTGTTGGTTTATACATTGCAAATATCCTCTCCCAATCTGCATATTATCTCTTACTTTTGTCCATAGTGTCTTTTATTGAGCATAAATCCTTAATTTTGCTATAATCCAATCACCTCTTCAGCATATGGGTTATAGTCTTAAAATTTTGTCCAAGCCCCTAGGTCACAGACATCTCCCTACAATTTCTATTAACATTACAGTTTTATTTTCACATTGAGGTCCTCAATCTACCTAGAATCCTTTTTTTTTTTTTTTTTTTTT